ATCACACTTTCGTATTATGACATCCTGTTTTCTTTTGGAGTCATTTAATTAGTTCTGGGATGGGAACTACATGCAGTGGTGGTGGTGTGGGGGAGAGGGTATACAGGAATCCAGGGCACAAGGTCTATGCCCAATGGTTTGCCTTCTTCACAGCACAGACCATCCAGACTAAAAGTGACAAATGGGCAGAATCTCATAAGTATTCTGGCTCTTCACTTCCCTAGTTTGATTACATTGTCCTGGATGGCATTTGGAACTCAGTTCAGGGTGCATATAGTTGAATTATGCAATTTGCTGATATGCAATTAACTGGAGTAGCAACACATTCAATCTAATGGGGGCCAGAGACTGCATAATTCTTAGGAGCACAAGCTGATTATGCAGTTAAGTGATATGCACTTAAGAGAAGTGCACCACATCTATCTGATCCCATTTCTTCCAATAGATTCCTCGTGGCACTTTACCCCAGCCTTTCTGCTTTTATGGTCAAACATATCGTAATCTGTATCTACTTGAAATGAGAACCTTACAGTTCGTATGTAGATTTGGGATTCATTTCTTTTAAAAAAAAAATCAATCTTTTAAAATCTTAATTCTTGGATACACAAATGGGTAGGCAAATGAGAAAAGAAAGGGGCAAATCTGGGGTTCAACATGTCTTGGTCTCAGGGATAGGAAACAACACTGGAATTGTACAATTTAGGGTGCTTCATTTTTAGTTTCTTTCTTCTTTTTCTTTTCTTTTCTTTTTTTTTTTTTTAAGGTTAGGAGGTTGTTTCAAATGCATACGTGAGGTGCATTAAAATATTTCTTTTTAAAAGCAAAGGACTTTGCACTCAGTATTTTTTAACTTGAAAATGGATATTATAGAAAGGCAGTCCTTTCATGAGAAACTTCAATTAAATGACAGTTCATTTAGGAGGGCCAGTTTTAAGTTACTCTCGTAATGATGGATTGTTAATTTAATTTGGCAGGTTTTACTGTTTCACTGTATGCTTGCTGCATGCCCTGGATTGACCTAAATTCTTTGGGGGACCCCAAGAAATATAAAATATGGCTGCTTATCTTCAGCCTTCTTGGGAGGTCATGACCCATGCATACAAAGTAATTGAAGAACAATGAAACATAGCATATGATTAGGTGTCAAAATGGTTGTTAACGAGACTAAAAGGTAAAAGAAATCAGAGAAGGGGATAATGAACTGGGCTAGAGTTTTTCATCACTAAAGGGAGACAGGGAGAAGCAAGAGTTAGTGCTTCACTTATATTAGATAGATCAAAACAACTCTGTAAGGGTATTACTATCCCCCATCTACAGATGAAAAAACTAAGGCCCAAGGATGTTAAGGAACTTGTACATGATCCACAGGTAGTAGGAAATGGAGTCAGAATTTAGAATTAGGTTTGCCTGTCTCCATAATTCCTTTTTGGAGGTTTTAAGCAAGAGGCCATGGCAGATAGGCTGTGGAGGATTCAGACATCTGCCAGGAGAATTAACTGTGTGACCATCATGGTCCCACTCAGCCTTGGGGCCCTGTGGTCTGGAAAGATTTCAAGAAGCAGGTGGGAGTTGTGCTCTCAGTTTTGGGGGAACTCTTTCTTATCTAGGAGAAGAGATGCCAGCCTTGTAGATGCAGATTTTCCTGAGTTGAATAGATTTTTACAAGTTTAGCAAAATCAAATATGGTGATTGAGAAAAGAACAGAGTAACCCAGCATTTGTGACTGGTTTGGTGGGTCAACAAGAGAGAATGACAAAGATTATTGTCATCAAATAGCCTTTCCCGAGAGGGCCACATAGTCATCAAATTCCCTTTCCCTAAAGGGAAATCTGCTCATGGCCCACCAGGAATGGGGAGCCAGATATGACTGGGGCCAGCTGGGACTGAATTGGTCCCTGTCTTTTAGATTTGCATCAAAAGCACTTGATACCCCTGCTCAGGATTTCACAAAACTGCAGTCAGATAGCCAGGGCTGTATTCTCATCTGGAAACTTCACTGGGAAAGATGACCTTTAAGATTATTCAGATGATTGACAAAATTCAGTTCCTTGCAGCCATAAGACTCATGGTGGCCTACTTCTTCAGTGTCAGTATACTTATGGAGAGCATTTTATAATTTGCAAATGCTTTTTCATTCTAATGTGAAGCACAGATATGCTCCTCCTACTCTCATTTAAGGAGTCCACCATTCAAACAGTTGCCCAAACTGAAATTCTGAAAGTGACCCTTGATTCCTCTCAATTCCTCGCTTCATTAGCAAGTCGTATGGGCTACACCTCCAGAATAAATCCTGACTCCAATAACTAGTTTCCACTTCATAGTCACTACCATTGACCAAGCCACCACCATCTTATCTAGCCTAATGCAACTACTTTCTTGCTTTGCTGTTGTTGTTTGTTCTTGTTTTTTCTTTAGAGACAGTGTCTTCCTCTGTCACCCAGGTTGGAGTGCAGTGGCACAATCACAGCTCACTGCAGCCCCAACTTCCCAGGCTCAAGCAATCTTCCTACCTTTGCCTCCCTTTGTAGCTGGGACCACAGATGCACACCACCACGCCCGACTACTTTTTTAAGTTTCCGAAGAGATAGGGTCTCACTACGTTGCCCAGACTGGCCTTGACCTCCTGGGCTCAAGTAATCCAACAATCTCAGCCTCCCCAAATGCTTAGATTACAGGTATAAGTCGCTGCGCCCAGCCTGCAACCACCTCCTTACTGCTCTCCCCACTTTCCCTCTAGTCCCCGCAAATCCATTCTCCATACAGCAGCCAGGGAAGTGTATAAAATATGAAAATAAGATAATCACTTTGGCTGCGTGTGGTGGCCCGTGCCTGTAATTCCAGCACTT